ACAGAGAGAGATACTACTCAGCCTTAAAAAGTGGGAATCAATTTGCAACATATATGAATCTGAAGAATGTTGCCATAAGTGAAATAATTGAAGCACAAAGACAAGTTCTAGATGATCTCTCTTATAGGAGAAATCTGATAGAATCGAACTCACAGACACAGAGAAATGAACAATAGTTATTAGAGTAGATCAGGAGGGAATAAATGATCAAAGGGTTCAAAGTTTCAGATGGGAGGAACAGTTTTAAAATACATTGTAAAGCAGTGCAACTATTGTCAATAATAGTGCATCGTGTGTTTCAAAAGTAACACGAGTAAATTTAAAATATCTCATCATTGAAAAGGACAGGTAAGGGGACCGATGTGTTAATCAGTAGGATTTACTTATACCACATTGCACACACACATCACACAATCACCTTGTACGTTATAAACATATACAATTATGTTTTTAATATAAAATAGTACTAATACAATTTTCTTTAAAAACAAAGGAATCATTCTTTTGAAAATATATTTTTCTTGGGCCTTTTCTCTCTCATGTTAGCTACTTAGAATGACAGTTTTCTTGATTTGTAGTAGTGACTTTCACATGTGAAGTTGACCAGACAACTGGTAAGCCATTATTTTGGGATGTGTCTGGAAGGGGCGCTTTCAGAAGACATTAATATTTGAATTGCTGTGGGAAGTGGAGATCTGTTCACACCAGTGTAGATGGGTTTTATCTAATCAATTGGAGTCTTAACCAGATTCATAAGAAGATGAAGGGTATGTTTGCTCTCTGAGCTCATCTACTTCCACACATCGAATCTCATGGTCATGGATTCTCAAGACTCGCAATGGTATCCCTTCCAACATCCTTGATTCTAAAACTTCTGAGCTGTAATGACTCCATCGTTCTCCCAATTTCAGACTACAAGTAACTCCTTAATTGTGAGATCTTCTTTGTGTGTGTATGCCTCACAAAATATTTTGTTCCATTTACCACTAGAAAAGAAAGATATAAAAACAATTTGGTTGTCCCTCTTTTAAAATGAAAAGTATCAAGTAAATGTTAGAAAACTTCATATTGAAAAGCCATTATCTTAAAAAGAAAAAAGAAAGAAAGAAAAGCCATATTTTTTAACTATGTGCATTTTCATGGCAATCAAGGTTGATGGTTCATTGTCTAAGTTTAAATCCTGGCCCAGCCAGTGATCAGCAATTAAACCTTTCCCACATTGCTTAAGCTTCCTGTACTTCTAGCTCTGGTCTGTAAAATGAGGATAATAATATTATCCTCTTAAGGGAGTTGTAAGATTAAATAATTGCTTAGAATTGCATCTGTAGGTTAGCAGTGAACATTCACATATTATTAAAGGGCTTTCTCTTCTAATACTTAAATATTTTTTAAATAGTTCAAGTGACATGAATGAAAGTTCCAAATCATACCTTCTATGTAATGACATTATAACTGTATTTGAGAAAATTAATTTCAAAACCATTTACCTACCAATGGTAACCATGATAATTTTGCCAAACTGGTTATCTGTGGCATTCACGCATATATATATATGCATATATATACATATAAATGTGTGTATATATACATATATATGTATATATATACATATATATATGTATATATATACATATATATATATATATATGTATCTCCATTCAATGAGCAAGCAATGAAGGCAAAAAGCTTTACTGCCTGACCTTTTATAATTATATGGTGTTTTTTTTCCTACCTCAGGCCAACCACAGAATACAGGAAAGACTTGCATATATGATGGTATAACTACCAATTCCCTTAAATGAAGATGTGGTAAATTACTACTTCTTTCTCTCACTTTTTTTAAGCCATGAAATAATGCATAGGATCTTTCTTTCTCTGTCTTTATAGTTTTACCTGCTACACTTTGATTTATATGTGTAGTTATAGTTAATGATATATGCATGCATGTATTAGTTAAGTGAACAAAAAATTAAAATTTCACCCATGAACTAGTCTCATGTAACTTTTTAAAATCATTTTTCCCTCCAAACTATTTTCTCTTTGAATCACAAAGTAGAAAATAGGTTTCCGGTTTATGGAAGACATACTTGCTAGCAGTCTGTTAAAGTATCTAAGAAAATTTATCTCTAACTTGTGGAGATGTTATTATGGGTTTTTTTGTTTGTTTGTTTGTTTGTTTGTTCATGGGGCTTGAACTCTGAGACTAGGTGCAATCCCTTACTCTTCAGCTCAAGGCAAGTGCTCTACCACTTGAAGCCACAGTGCCACTTCCGGTTTTCTAGTGGTGTATTGGAGGCAAGAGTCTCACGGACTTTCCTGTCCAGGCTGGCTTTAAACCCTGATCCTCAGATCTCAGCCTCCTGGGTAGATAGGATTATAGGCGTGAGCCACCAGCGCCCAGCTGTTATTATGGGTTTTATCTTTACACTTTCTCTCATATTGAAGAACAAGATTTCAGCCCTGAATGTCACTCACTTTATGATATTAAATCTGACTCATGTCCAGAGCCAACTGGCAAACAGTTCTACAAAATTTAGGAAAGTGGTTACATAGCCAAGATACACTGGCTTGCTGTTCAGAATGATTTTCTGGAATGTGCCTAATCCTGGCTAAAACATGCAAATTCCACAACTACCCTAAATACGATATTTTAGTCTTAAAATCAAGACAAAATCTTTAGAAATACTACATAGGAATCACACACACACACACACACACACACACAAAATAGCCTCTTAAAGCATGGCTTCCTAATTGAATCAGCTAAATGTATGGATTGTTTACAATTACAATTCAGGGGGAAAGCTCATTCTCTGCAATTGATTAGGAACAGGTACATAGCGTACTGTAAATATCAGGAAATGGTTGGGGAAACACTTCCTCCTGGTAGCTAAAATGTAAAATGAAATTATTTTATTTCTAATTCAATACTTATTTTTCTAAAAGCCATGTATTATTGCTCTGCTGAATTCCTTCTGTGTTAAATTTGTAAAAAAATCTATGCACTTAATTGATTAGTCTTATTTTTCACTGGAAAATTCTCGGACCTAAGTTGTTTTGTAATGTCATTCCTACAAGCTTTCTCCCTCCCCGCCCCCAAGGAACTTACACCCACTCCCAGCCCAAACATTTCTAACCTGACTGCATATATACTTAGATAAATAAAGAGTCTCATAACAGCAATAAATGTAACAATAAAAAGATAGTTGGCAGGATCACATGCATATATATGCACATGTATTAACTGAAGTGTGTTTTAGGCAAAGGAAAATTCCAAGGGTGTAACTCTTTTGAACAATGAACTTGCAGTCTAACAAAATGAATATCAGGAAGCTACAACTTGAGGCATCCAGGGGAGCGAGGACAAGGGAACTGAAGAAGATGAAGAGAGGAAGTCATAATATTCGGTGTGTGAAAATGGAACTAGGTAAGCTGAAAGGATGGATCGGGTTTGGAGAGATGGGGAAATGATGAATGGGGTGACATTGGTCAAAATGCATTGTGCTCATAAATGGATATATTGAACTAATACTCCTTTACAAAACTACACTGAGATGATTTTAATACTGTTTTGTCAGCAGCAGGCTCACTCTCTTGACTCAAAGAGTATTGCCTCCTACATTCCCTACCATCCCTCCTCACCCTTGGTTATTTTTTTAAATTTAATTTTATTGTCAAGGTGATGTACAGAGGGGTTACATTTACATCCATAAGGTCGTGAGTACATTTTTTTGAACTTGTTACCCCCCTTCATTTTCTCCCACTTTCCCTCCCTCCCAATCCCAGCTCCCAAGTTGTACAGTTCATTTCCAACACATTGTCTTGTGAGTATCGTTGTTGCACTGGTTCGCCCTTCATTCTTTGTACAATACTCAGGGTACCAAAATCAAATACAGTGACAACAGGGGATGAACTATAGGGGGAAAAAACACAAAAGAAAAAGAAATCACATAGTACATTAAAAACAACAAGAACAAAGGAAAATCTCTTGTTTCCCTATCTTGGAGTTCATTTCACTTAGCATCATCTTATACGGTCGTAGGTACTTCCTTCTTAATCATTTCATCATGCTCCAAGTCATCTTGCTGCCTCCATGGCCTTAGACTTGAATCTTTAGCCATCATATCTTTCCAAGACTCTAACAGAGCCCACCTATACTATGAACTAAAGCATGCTCTGAGAAAGGATCAGATCTTAGGGACTCTTCTATGCTACCAGGGCTCTAATTAACCACAACGTTCTCTATGTATGTTGGAAGTTTGCAGTGGGCACAGGGTTGCATATTACCTCTTGCTGACATGCCTTGCTACTTTAGGTGGAATGATATCACTGTTGATGCCATATCTGTGCAACTACAGAGTGACTGCCAAGAGTGCTTTCCTCAGAGATTCCATATCAGATCCTGGGGAAAAACTCAGGGAGGCCTGACTCACGTAACTCTCAAACACTCCCAACCCCAACACATACAACCACTTACACATATTACCACAGACACGCAGACATCCACGGATCCATACAACCACAACCATGCACAAGACTTTCATAACGTGAGAAGGCAAACTCTACCCTTCCATCCTCGGCCTTGAGTGAGAAAAACTAAGGGATGGTGTCTACACTCGAGTTCAAGCCCCAGTATTTCTCTGGCACACATACACACCAAAGAAGGAAAAAAAAGATGAAGCAAAACTAAGTTTTGCCAGGACCAGAGTAGACACTAACAAGGAGTAGAATTTCCACCTGGAAAAATGAGGGAATATTTCTGAAGATGTCACAGGCCACGTGTTCTCACTAGATGTTTGGAACGCAGGATCAGTAGAGCATGTGCAGGACTTCCATTCCAAAAACAAGATCATCGTGGTTTTTTTATACATTTATAATACTGACCTCTTCAAGTGGAGAACTTGCAAGCAGAATTATGTCTCTCTGAGCAAGCTTTTCAAAGTCCTTAACGTAGGCAGGAATGGTACTGTCAGCCTCCTGGAGGATTTCATGGAACTCACAGGCTCCTCAGAATCCAAGGGCTCCGCGTTGGTGCGCCTACCTGTTTGTCCCAGCAAAGTTTCCTTGTCATTCAATATTGACCAAAGACTCAAGAAGATAACCACTTTAGGTCTTTCTTAAATGGAATAAATTTGAGTTTTACATAATCTACAACATACCACAGTCTTTTCCGCTTAATTTCTCAAGAAATCACAAAAATCCAGAAGTTTAAAGTTTAAGAAAAAACCTCTACCTTTATGTATGTTGCCATATTTACAAAGTGAATCAAGTGTAGCTGTACATTAAGACTTTTTACTTCACTTATCAAATACATCCTGAAATAGGAGTGGGGTGCATTTCACCATACATCAATATTACACATTGTGTACTTCAACCTAGTACACTATTTGAATTTAGGATTACCCCCAAAATGTGCATATAAATGGCTTGAAAAGCCAGATTTTATAGAAATAAAAGGTGTGTTATGTATATCCATAGCAGAGAAGTAAAGGAGACGTGTGTCCATCCAAGAATAAAATTTGGAGGAAGCACTGTAATCCAGTGCCATTACGTGATGGGCGTTCAGATGTTTCAACAGCACTAATGTCCTCATTGCCATCATTGTCATTAGTATTTTTATTATTCTTAGGTATATGCTTTTCCTTTCTGCTCAAGGAATAATTGAATCCTCAACACTACTCCATATGGTAAATATAATAGGTCCATTTGGTAGAAATTGAAAAATGAATTAACTCAAGGTCAAGCAGATAGTGAATGGAGAAGGCTCAGCATAATTTAATAGGAATAAGTACTGCTAAAATACCTAATAGTGATTTACTCTTCTTCAGCTTATGTACTGCTAAGAAGCTATTTTTGGAAAGAAGACTAAGGGTTGTTTGGGAAGAACCAAGCTCATGCTGTGAAAAAGAAACAGAAACTGGCCAGTGTAGGTAGCTCATGTTTATGATCCTAGCTAGTGAAGAGGCTGAAATCTGAAGACAAGGGTTCAAAGCCAGTCCAGGAAAGAAAGTCTGTGAGACTCTTGTTTCTAATTGTCTTGCTAAAATAAGAAAGTGGAACTGTGGCTCAAGTGATAAAGTGCTATATTTGAGCAGAAAAGTTTAAGTGACAGCTAAGTGAGAGGTTCTGAATTCAAGACCCAGTACATGCACACACACACACACACACACACACACACACACACACACACACACACACTCAAAAAGAAAAGAAACATTAGCCAGTAGACTGATCAGCCATGAATTTAATTCCAGGTATATAGCAAAATTCATTTAGCGCTTGGTGAAAACTAAGTCAGGGTCTATTCTGTTAAACCAATACCAAGGAATTTCGTTTTTAAAAGATTACATTTAAATTTCTAGTTCAATACTTACTTACTAGAATGTATCTAACTTACTAGAATTAAAATTTCAAATGTAGATTCCAATGCTCAAATTGAGAGCAATATACACTACTTGTCTTCTACCATCCCAAAATATGTGTTCAAGAACCAAGATGCCTCTTTGTCATGGGCACACAGATTCTCATATAGTAGTAAACCCACAAGCCATGTGTGTTGCAGAATCCTGCAACAAGAGTCTTTTTTTGCTATTTAGATTACAAATCATATGTAATTGTAAAAAGGAGCCATAATTACTATTCCCCATCAAAAGCATAGACAGGTCATTGATGAACTTTAATATTTAGAAAAGACAGATTAACATTTGCAAGACACCGTATCAATTCATTTGTAACTAATAATAACATAAGAGATTGAAGATGATTGTCTCTTACCTTGGGATTCTCCTTGTCCACTGACATCAAAAAGCTTCATTAATCGATTATAGAGAATTCTGTCATCACCTTTTAAGGGTGTTAAAAGAATATACGCATGATGACTTGCTCATCATCTAATTTATTGGTATGCAAATGTAATTACAAAGAGAAATGATTAATTATATTATGGGTCATAGGTATGAATTCTATTCAATGTGCTGCTTTGTTTTGGAAATAAGCCTTTTGTAAGTTGATGATAATTGGAAAAATAATTTTTAAATGTGTATTGCAGGATATACATATATAATTGCCACTCCAACAAAAAGAATCTCAGATTCAATGGGTTATAACATCAATTACTCAAATCATTTCAGAATATGTCATTATGGTTTGTCAAATCATACAATGGGATGTTTAAGTGTTGAACAAAAAGAATGAATTTTTTCCATTAGCTACCATTACTTCATGAATTGTCCTTTTACTATGTAAAATAAACATGAAAGGAACAACAAACTTTTGTGGTCTTGTGTGCTTTTGTTCACAATAGTATATTGCAGTGAGAATAGCAATAGATAAAAGGAGGATTCTTTACATAAAACCTAAGTAAAAGAATACAAGGCTCTCAGTTCTTATAAATTTAAAACAACAATATGTTCATTAGCACCAATCTCTTGGAAAAAAAGAAGCTCATAAAATGTATTTTTTTAATTTTTGTTATCTTTAATTGCACAAAGGAGGTGCCATATAACAAAGAAGGTTATGAATACAATGCATCTTGGCCAGTGCCATTCCCTTAAACATTCTCACCCCCTTCAACCCCCTCTTCATTTTTCTTAATTTTATGGTATATAAAATGAATTCTTTTTTTTCTTTCTTTTTTTTGGGGGGGGGGGTCCAGTTGTGGGGCCTGAACTCTGGGCCTTGAGCTCTTCAGCTCAAGGCTAGGGCTCTACCACTTGAGCCACAGCGCCACGTTGAAGAATCAAACCCAGAGCCTCAGGCATGCAAGGCAAGCGCTCTACCACTGAGCCAACTTTCCAGCCTCTTTTTTTTCTTTTTTTAAAAATAACTTTCTTATTGTGAAAATACTGTACAGAGGGGTTATAATCACATGAGCAAGGTAATGAGTACATTTTTTATCAAGCATTGTTGCCTCCTCCTTTGATTTTCCTCTACGATCCCTTCCCTCCCATCTCCACAATTACATTACCCTCTTCCCCCCACCCCCTGTTTTCACTGTATTTGATATTGGTATAATTTGGGGAGTGGAAGGAAAAAAATTGTCTAAATAGGGATACAGGTGGACTCATGACAACCATGAGATGTAGAAGAGGCTATGTCGATATACAATGACTTGACTGCACTCTTTCCACCTTCCTTCCGCTCTTCGGTTTACCCATTTCCCAGTAGTTATTTTGTTGGGCTTTGACTTAGTCTTTCTAAAAGTTTATACTATTTCAGCTCTCCATAGAGTCTATTATACTTCAGTTGATTAATTTGTAACCACTTGCATACTGCCCAGTGGCTTACTTATAGATTTTTAGGTACATTCTCTCTACCACAAATGAAGAAAGCTACACAATCTTTGTTTCTTTGGGTTTGGCTTCACTTTTTCCCCCAGGACTTTCCATTTCCTTATGAATGGTACAATATTATTCTTTCTAATGGATGAGTAAAATTTCATTGTGTATAAATACCAAATTTTCTTAATCTGTTGGTCCATTGAGGGACATCTGGGCTAATTCCCTCTCTTGACTATGAGGAATAGTGCGGCAATGAACACAGTTGTGCTAATAGCTTTACTGTAAACTAGTTTGTATTCTATTGGATAAATGCCCGGGAGTGGGATTGTAGGTTCCACAGGGTAGTTCTACCTTTAGTTCTTGAGGCCCCTCCAAACTGCTTTCCAGAGTGGCTAAATAAGTTTACAATCCCACCAACAGTTTCTTACAGTTCTCTTTTGGTTCCATCCTCACTAGGATTTCTTGTTGTTTGTTTTCTTGATAGTGGCTATTCTAACTAGGGTAAGGTGGAATCTTAGTGTTGTTTTGATTTGCATCTCCTTTATGGCCAGAGATGTTGAGAATTTCTTCATGTGACAGTTGGCCAATTTTACTCCTTTAATTTTTTGAGCTCTAAGTACGTTCAGGATATTAAGCTCTTGTCTGGTGTCTAGCTAGTAAAAATCTATTCCCATTCTATTTAGCTATGCCCTTTACTGTGTAGAAACTTTTAAGTTTGATTAAAATGTATTTCTTGAAGGTTTAAAAGGTCATCCCAATGTATCTCCTGCCACTAAATATAACCAAATATAAATAATTCAAGGTGGATGAGCATCTCAGATGTAGACTTATAACCAGTGTATATATCCTACAACACCAAGCATGTTTATCTCCCTATGGGAGGCAATTCAATTATATGTGTGATGTTCCTGTGCTTTTAACATGTCCCCTGTATTTGTATCTCCTATCACTTTGCTACTCATTCTGAATGAAGACTATGGTTAGTTCTATTATTCACATCTAAAATTCAACCAAGTATTCCAGAAGAGGCCTCTGGGATCGTCATTCTCCACACTAACTTTTCTCAGAATCCTAGGTCTTCCTAATTTGTACATAGATGAATTTCTTTGAACATTAGTGTTGGAAAAAAAAACCATGTTGCCTATAATCACGAACTTGGAATGACTAAAGAGGAAAGTTGGAGCTTGCAGGAGCAGATGGAATGGTTGAGAGTGGAACCTAAACAGACCTTGGAAATTAGTAGCTTCTGCTCTTTGCATGCTCCAGATAGCTTTTTCAAGAGTCAGTTGACCTACGATTTTTTTTCTTTAATTGCCAAGAGCCAGCCCAGACCTTAACACTCAAGACAGGAAGAGACAAACCGTTATGCAGGTTGTATGCTAAGGAAGCATCCTTCTTGATGGGGCCATTATTAAACGTATTAGGCTTATAGATGGCACTTTAAAAGGTGTTACTTGGAAGTTGATAATAAGTAGTATCTGATGCAGGAGACAAGGAATTCTATGCCAAAGTAATGAAAGCAGTGAAAGACCATAAACACCATCTTCAGAGTCAGGGCTCTGTGCCTGTATCTAGACCCTAGCACTGCCTCTTTGTAGCTGTGTAAATTTGGGATCCCAGATTTCATGTCCTTACACATCAAACTGGATGGTTATGAGTTTTAAAAGATAGGACACCTAGCTTCATGCTTGATCTCCAGCAAGTGGCAGGTACTCTGATTCATTTGTAATTGTCATTCACTTTGTAATTGCCAGAAGTGTGCTGGAGTGCTAAGAAGCAACAGCATGCTCGATCTCATGAATCTTGCTATTTTTATCATAAATGAATAGTGAGTGTGCACTCATGTTTCTTAAACTCTTTGCATTTTAAAATGTCCACCACATATATATACATATGCACATATATATCATAGTCTATAAGATATTTGAAACATATATATTGAAATGAATTCCAAAATATGAAAACAAGATGTCTCTCCTTTTTCACTTAATTTTTGTTTTTTGATGATTCCGTCTTCTTTATGGATGGTATAGTCACATGTATATATTCAGGAGGCATGGGGGACAGCACAGAATTTGAAGGACAAAGGGTGACAAAGTGCAGCAGTGAAGTTCACAGACACGGATGACAGTGGATAGGGATGGGAGGGAGGGACTGACAGAGAGTGAGAGAAGGAAAGAAAATGGATTCATTATCTGACTCAGGTCATTGTAAGCCCTTTGTACATCACCTTTCTAAGAACAATAAAGTAAATAATAATTTAAAACATCAGTCTGATCACACAAAATAATATGTATCGAAATGAACTCCAATGAATAAAAAGGTTTTTTTTTTCTTTTTGCTGCTTCTGTTCCTTTTCTTTTAGTTCTGTTTGTTTATATGTCTTTGGGAGGGTAAATGGGGGCACCGAAATGGAGGGGAAAAGGGTGAACAAATGCAGTAATGGTGCTCACTGGACACTATGTTGAAAATGAACTATATAACTTGTGGATAGGGATGGGAGGGGAAAACTGGGAGACAACCCAGAGAGGACATGGTCCAAAAAGAAATGTACTCATTACCTGATGCATGTAAATGTAACCCCTCTGTGCCTCGCCTTTATAATAATAATAACAATGATTTCTTCGAAGACCTCAAATGATCGTTCAGTCACTTGACCTCCCTTTTCCTTAGAAGTCTTTGCAATTGTCTCTCCCGTCTCAAGTGTGTGGCAAATAAAAGATTGTGAATTTCCAATCTCTAATTCACCCTGACTTTTTCAAGAGTTGGTGATAACTAGCTCTGAGGCTTCCTCACTTTACCCTGCAAACCTGTCTTTTGGTATTTCTAGATTCTGCACCATTTAAAACGAGGTTTGGGGGAAAAGAAATGTGCTCATTACCTGACATGTGAATTAGTGAAGCTTCTATACAACACCTTAATAATTACAAAAAATTATATTAAAATACATCCATATGTTAAAAATTCAAAAACTGAAAAAAGTAGGTTTTGGTTTATTGAGAATAATGGCACAAAAAACAGGCTTCCCACACTGCCTAGGGTTTATTTCCTCATCCATCGGTGGGTTGTATTTGAACCCTATATTTGAGTGATGTAGTCTAGTCTTCCATTACAAAGGCAGTTTCCATGACTGGAATCTAACCATGAAATGTGACCTTCTGTGTAGAAATAATTCTAAGGAACTTTGTAACGGTCATGGTCCCATCAATACATTTTGCCAACCTGAATGTGTTGGGAAGTTCAGACTCTGCCCCTAAGGAACAATGATGAACTCTTATTTAACAAATACACCTATACTCAAGATTATAGAGGGCACCATGTTGTCATTCTTCAGTATCTTCCCAGTTCCTGGCTTCCCACTTAGATGATGTTTTGTTGTTGTTATTGTTTTGCTTTGTTTTGCTTTTGTGGTTTTTGGGATTTGAGGTGTGTGTGTCTATGTGTCTGTGTCTGTGTGTCTGTGTGTTTGTATGTGTCTCTGTGTCTCTGTATGTCTCTCTCTGTGTGTGTTCTAATCCTGGGGCTTGAACTCAGAGCCAGGACACTGTCCCTGAGCATTTTTGCTCAAGGCTAGCTCTCTACCATTTGAGCCATAGCTCCACTTCTGGCTTTTTTTTTTTTGTCCGTTGAAGGTAAGAGTCAGAGACTTTCTACCTGGGCTGGCTTGGAACTGTGATCCACATATCTCAGCCTCATAGATAGCTAAGAATATTGGCATAAGCCACCAGAACCAGACTTACATGTTGGATTCCTGCATGTAATGAAAGGAATTCAATAATCTCAGCATGTGGAAATCTTCTGTGTTAAGTACAGTGCACTAGGAATGCTCCTTTTAAACTAGTGGAGCAAAAACCAGGCCTCAGCGTGGGCAGCAAAGGAATTCATAGGGGATTTGCATGAAAACCAACTGCTACCTCTTTTATCTGGCCAGTTTGCTGTCCTTGGGAAAAAAATGCCATCTCCACTGCCCATCATTATTGGTGTGTGGTGAACACTTACCATTCCAATCGTAAGCTGCAAAATCCAAACAGAGCTGCACATGTGATCTTTGTCACCTCATTTTCATGAATGGAAAAGAATATTCTGACACAAAAATTATATACTTAATTCTGGCTCACCCTCTCTGCTGACCTCCATCCCACACTGCCTTGGGTTTATTTCCTCATCCATCAGTGGGTCAAAGTAATTTCTGCTGTAGTCATTTCCTGTGGAAAGTAGATGAGGTAAGGGTCAGTGATTATTAGAAGCACATGAACCAAAATGTTAATTTTGAAATCGACACCAGCACAGAAGGACCATGTTAGCTACTCTATCAGCTTAATTTTTTAACAAGTTTTCCAGATCACGCTCCGTTTTTTTTGTAATTATCATCTTGCAAAAGGTCAGGAAAGGTAATTCAAGAAACAAGTTCATGCTATCTTTCTGTTGCTAAAAAGTTAATGAGAAAGTTATCAAATATAGACTTTAGAATAATAATTAAAATCATGAAAAAAAATTAAGTCAAACTATCTTGGTAAGTATTGTAGAAAGGGACATTTGGGTATTGTAATGATGTGTGGAGTTTGCTAATGAATCCACTAATGGGTTTGCATTTCATGAAATAGATCTTGTGGTTGTGTCCATAATTCTGTACCCTACCTAATAGTGCTTTAATAATAAGAAACTCATCAAAGCTCCAGGCTTAGAGTTGAGTAAAATGCAAAAAAGAAAGGAAGAAAAATAGAAGGAAAGAGGAAGGAAGAAATCAAGGAGAGAGAAGGGAGGAGAAAAGGGAAAGAAAAAAAGTATATTATTATTATCATTATCATTATTATTTCTGTCAACTTGAGTAACATGAAGAGGAGTTTCCAAAGACTTACCCCAAACTTTTATTCAACACACATCAATCTCAACACCACACACTTCCAAATTTCTCACCTCCCATTGCCTACTTACTTGGTCCATATCTCAATATCCAAACTACAGCATCAGGTTTGACTTTTGTAATAGTGAAAAAGGTCTGCTATCAATTTTCCAAATCTCCTTACCTACTTCCCACAGACTGAAACGTATATGTCTGTGGCCTGTCATTTGCATTTGATGAAATATAAGCTACACTGATGATAATTAAAGCTGCCTTCAACACTTGAAAGCAAAATAAAGCACTGTAGGATGAAGACAATTTTGAGAGAAAGGTGAATCTCTATCTGTGAGATTCTGTAGTATGCTTGGTTTAGGGTCAATAGCAGAGCAAGCAAGTGCTCCTTTCCCACAGCGAAAGGAAATTTTGATATGAGTCTAGGTTCAATGCTCTTTCTGGATCATCATAATTTTAATATTAATCTCTGTCCTATCATTGCAGTAAGCACAAGAAGTGAAAATTTGCTTTAATCTGAGGTCTCCATAATGAAAAAGAATTAATCAAGTGGTTTGTGTGTGTGTGTGTGTGTGTGTGTGTGTGTGTGTGTGTGTCCATCTTGGGGCTTGAACTCAGGGTTTGGGTGTTGTGTCCCTTAGCATTTTTGCTCAAGGCTAGTGCTACCACTTGAGCCACAGCTCCATTCTGGCTTTTTCTTGGTTAATTGGAGATAAGGCTCATGGACTTTCTGTTCTAGCTGACTTCAAACTATGATCCTCAGATCTCAGCCTCCTGAGTAGCTAGGATTACAGTCATGAGCCTTTGGCACATGGCATTCTTCATATATTCTTAAATGCATTTCTACTCCATTTTACATTATGCTATGTATTGTTTTACATGTAAAGTAGTATACTGATCCATTGTCACCTCACTAAAACACAAATCTCTGTGAGGTTAAAGACATCTCTTCTCTTTCAGTGTCCTATATATTCATTCTTTCAATCCATAGTAATTGAGCTCTTATTATGTGACTAGCTCAGCAAAATCCTGCTACATAGAGGTGCTAACAATATAATCTGCATCCATTAATTAAACCTCTCTGAAGAAAAAAATTAAAAAACTTATATCCTTTCACTGGATAGAGACTCATTCTGGGTTTAAATGAGCAGCATCTTTTCAACATTTTTATTCTTCTTTTCCTTGCCAGTCTTCCTCTCTCTTTTCCTTTCTTTTATGTGCTCCTTCCCAACACCACACACACACACACACACACACACACACACACACACACACACACACACACAACTTCTCTTTATAACTCTTTATAATATATGCTCTTTCAGAACCAAAACTATGTCTTGGAAGAAAAAATAGAAGCACCTTGCTTCTAACATAGCCCATACCACAGAAAGAACAAGTCTGTTAGCTGAGCATGCACAGTTTGGTGTGTTGAAATTTTATGGTCCAGGACAGCCACAGTTCCCTGAGCCTAGGAGAGCATCTAAGCCATATCAGGGACTTTCAACTTCCTGGAGAAATTGCTGCCTGAAGTTAAGTTTGTGATCAGGGAAAAGGAAATTCTGAAAAAAGGGAAGTCTGACCAAAAAAAAAAAAAAAAGGGAAAAGGCTCAGAGGTACACATGTACGTGAAGTACCATTTTTCAATAGATAGGCCTCAATTTTTCTCAACCTCCTAAAGGCATAATTTAATAAAGTAAGTCGTGAAATTCATGCTTAGCCCCAAAACCAAGTTTAACTAAAGTTCTCATTGAAATTATTAGTACATTGGCGCACAGGGTCACTTTATCCTGGAACATATCCTGTCTATGTATTCATTCAACCCACATTGACTCACTTAGTAAAAGGAACACAATCCTTCTCCTTTCAGACTTTCATTTGGAAAATGGAAGAATAAGTTTAATAAAAAGTATACACATTTTATTAGATGATGATAAGTGATATGGAGAACAATTAAAGCTAGGTAAAGGTGATAAGAATCCCCCCATCCCCAGGAAGGGGTGACTGTGTATCTCTTCAAACAAGTTACCACTCAAGATTAAACCAAAATTACTTTACGTCAACTGAAATAATAAAGCTGTGATTTGCTTCCTTAAAACGGTTATTTGTAACTCATTACTTTGCTAATTGATTTCTATAACATGAATCAGTTTACAAATCAAATAAGGACCCACATTCAAATATTAAAAATGATCATTCTTTTCCCTTGGTATGCCTTACCCTGATAAGCCCAAAATTGCAATGCAGCAGACAGATTTAAGGATGACAGTACTCAATGAATCCAGTATGAATTTGGAAACAATGAACTAACTGCATCTCAGTATTAGCTCTTTTTCTTCAATGTCATTAGATTTAATGTCAGGATTTAATAAAGCAGGATAGCTTTTAGGAGAGGGTACATATCACCAGAAGCTAGATTGCTAATAGAATAAATTCCTACAAGTGTCCTAATCATTAAGAGTGCTTTTGGATATATCTAAACTCCTCCCACAGGAAAATTAACAGACCCACTGAGAAATTCAAAGTAGGGCATTTAGCAATACAAATACAATAGGTTTTAATATGGCTGATGTTTAACTATTTGTGATATTCATATGAAAGCAATGACAATTACAGATAGACAGACAGATTCAAATAGGTTTAAATGTGATTGACTCTACATTGAAGCAACCAGATACAATCTATCAAGTAATAACAATAAATTATTCTTGTTAATATTCATCATATTCCAGTTTTTCTTCCAACTTGCTAATATTAGGTATTCAGTATTTAGAGTTAGTATCCATTAGTACATTTTATATGCTATGATTTTCCAAACTGGAGAGAAAAACACATGCACTTGCCTTCTGTCATTCCATACATAACAGCTTTTCCTATCACTTGGAGCAGCACAAGGTACCAAGGCTTTATTTAAATGGCACTGTACATGAACTTTGGTCAGGAAACCCTCAAGTATGCACCCATGAGGTTCCTTGGGGCCTGCAAGAATGAGAATGAAACTGTCCACCAGAAGAAGGTATAAATCACCAAAGTGTCTTGATTCAACAAGGCAATCACTTCCTTTCAAATAAGCTACATTAGCTAGAAAGGAAGAAAATCTGAACACATCTCTCTCTTCTTCAGGAGGTTCTTATTAAATCTCTTTGTGTTCTTTTCCTATGACTCTACTTGCTTCAGTTCACTTTTTTAATTCCCTGTTTACTATTATATGTTATGAACTAAATAAGGATAGCAATGCAGATAAACAGAATAACTAAGCTGTGTATATTCTATGATTATACCATTATATCAATATTTCACAAAATAAGACATCCTCCTAAAGATCATTTCTTGAGAGGCATGACTCCAAGAACATTAAATTTAAATTAGATCCTTCTGAACATCAAAGCAGATTTGAGAAATTATCATATTTCTCAACTTTGAAAATCCAATACCACCATCTCAAGTTTAAGTATCCATGGGACTAAACAGGGTACATAAACATGCAAAATCAGGTGATCATTGCCATACAATATAGAAAAATAGAATCTATCAGACTTCAACCCACTCTAGCCTATTAAATCCATTCAACGAGTTTTATTAAGTTGATATACAAATATTTTCACTGAAAGATAGCTAAAACTAAAAGTCTCTTCCTTCCTTCCTTCCTTCCTTTCCCTTCCTCCCTCCCTCCCATCCTTCCTTCCTTCTTTCCTTCTTTCCTGCCTGCCTGCCTGTTGCCTGTCTGCCTTCTTTCCTTGTAATGCTAAGGATCTATCCCAGAACCTTGTGAATGCCAGTTTTATCACTGATCCAAACAGTTTTATCACTGATCCAAAGGAAAATGTCTTAATACAAGAAAAAGAGTTAGAGCCAGGTACAGTGAGTGGTTCAATGCCTGTAATTCTAGATACTCAAGAGATCTGATGATTAAGGTTCAAAACCAGACCAGGTAGAAAAAAAACCTGTGAGGTTCTTATCACCAATTAACCACCAAAAAGCCAAAACAAGATCTGTGGCCCAAGTGGTAGAACAGTAGCCTTGAGCAAAACATCTCAGGAACAGTGCCCAACCCTGAGTTCAAGATCCAGGACTCACACACACACGCACACACACACACGAGTTGTCTTCAAGTTTTCAATGTACTAGGTATCAAAATAAAACACTAAAACTCCAATGAAGCAAACAAAAATGCTGATGACAAAAGCACAAACTATGGCTAGGATGTTCACTATTTAAAATATTATACAACATTTTCTTGTATATCTAAGGTACTTATGGTAAAAATAAGAGACATATGACCTAAAGTTATTGAAAAAATATGTAGGATTATCATTTGAAGACAATATGATTCTGTGCCATGGAAATATT